CTAGTAGCGATGGCCTCCACTTAATAGCGATGACCTCCACCTAGTAGCGATGGCCTCCACCTCATAGCGTCCTTGCGATGCCCTTGATGAACTTGGCTGAGGCCCGAGTGACTGGGTAGGCAGCGACGGTGGATACCATTGATACTCGGCAGAGAAACAGCGGCTGGGTGAATCCGATTCCGAAGCGGAAGCAATTTCTGTTTGATCGCTCTCGTTGGATTCTCGCGTCTTTTTTCGGCTGCTGCATGACATGAAGCATCCTTTTAGTCCTTACAAGTGAAGGGAGGAAGATCGTTGCTTCCCACCAGACTTCGTGCATTTTCCAAGCGAACGCTTGGTGCTTAGGCATGCACAAGCTTGTGAGGCAGACTAGCCTGTCTCAGTATGAAAGGCCATGGAGGGTTCTTTTTGATGAATCCTTGAAAGGATGTGAGTTTGTTCTGTGGACACTCTTCCCCCTGCAGCTCTGGCGGTGCTTGCCGGCCCTTTGGACATGGTCCTTTCCCATACGTTGATTGCCAAGTGCCGTCCTCAGGAGTCAAGCTGCACTAATTCTGGACCTTCTGATATTCTGCGAAAAAGCATGCATAAAGATCATAAAGAGATGTAGGATGATACAGTAAACGTGCAAGTATTGAAAGAAGGTATCAGTTCCTTGGACATGCGGTGCCAAGGATCAGTGCCGTACCTGGGCAGAACATTGACCGATGATTTTGATGATGTATGGGGTCGACCAGACTTCAAAACTACCCTGAAATATCTTGGGATTTCTGTATGTCAAATCTGTTGGCATGTATTTTCTGCAGAGGATATGCAGATGTATCCGCACGATGTTCTTTTTGGTCCTGGCTTCTGAAGGCTCTTTGTTGGCCGCACTGCATCCGCCACACCCCGTCACAACATCCTGCCCACCATGAACTCCGATTTTCGGCACAAGAAATCTGACAAAAGGAGCAGATACCTATGCAGATTTGCCCAGTTCACCTATTCCTCATTGATTTCTCAAGCTTAGGGGGACTTACTATACATCAAGTCAGCGGTCTATGCTCAGCATCAATGTTGCATACTTGTTTTTGACTACCGTATTGTATATATAGTTTGGTGGTATGAGAAAGATGGGGAAAGAGATACCTTCAACAGCTATCCGCAGCTGCCTTTTCATGGTCACGGCGTTTTCCACCCTTTTCTCAGCGACCCGCCACGCCATCGTGCCAGGTATTGGTGGCCAGGCGTGAAGAGGGACAGCCCATTCGGTGTGCGGAAAGCGCAGATCGGCTTTGACCGTTGGGGGGATCTTTTCAATTTGGTTCCACATGAGCAACTTCAAAACCTCTAGGATGAAAAGTGTACAAACATGTACAAACCACATGCAACTCACGTGCTTTCGCAAAAGTATAAGAGGTTTTGGAAGCCGCTCACATGTTTTCACCTCACACGACAAAGTTATCCTTCCGGGTCGTTGAGATCTACAGATGTCTAGGGACGTTCATGGCTCATTGACTAGACCTCCGTGTTGGTCATTGACTTCCAGTCTTGCAAGGGACAAGGGACAAGTAGCAAGACCCTGCAGAATTGCTATGCAGGCTATGGGACACCTCAAAAATGAAGACAACAAGTCACTGCAAATCCCGACATAGCACTACTTAGTCTGCTCAAAGCCATGTTAACTCAGGACATAACTATCTCATCCCATCTCAACGCTTGGAACCTCACCATTTAATTTAGCTCAAAACCTAGCCAAATGGATATGTGCTAGCTGACAACACAGCGAGCTCAAAGCTCAACTGACACACCATGTAGCACCAAACTTAGCGCTTGCCGAAAAACCAAGCTCACTCAGCTGAAGTGGTTTTGGTGCGTGCCTGCTGATGACATTTGTTGGGGCACAAGTGGAGCCGGAGGAAGATTCGTGCTTGTGTATCCTCAGTCTATCTTCAGGAGTATTTTTGGTGCCGTTTTGCTCGAGCATTGTCCACCTCCACCGGAACATCTTTGCTACTCCCGTTCTCCATAGAATGCTTCATGAGCCCAAACAACTGTAAGACCCAAAACATGCTGCGGGATACCTCCAGTCCTGGTTTGCCCTCCGGTGTTTAACTTCAAGCTTGTGAGATGATAGGCAGACGCTGCTGACAATGGAGGCACGGCAGTTTGAGTTTTTGAAGGACACTCGGTGACACTCGTATGTCTAGAGCCCTTCATGTCACTGAACCAGGTGAGATGACACCTGAGATGAAACAGAAGTTGATGAATATGATGATGCATAAGATGAAGCCACCGCCAAACACAGAGGAACAGCAGGAACCAGAAGCAGCGACAGAGGAGACAGAGAAGGAGGAGGAACCAGAGGCAGCTGCAGAGAAGGAGGAGGAACCGGAGGCAGAGAAAGAGGAGGCACCAGAGGCAGAGAAAGAGGAGGAACCAGAGGCAGCTGCAGAGAAGGAGGAGGAACCGGAGGCAGAGAAAGAGGAGGCACCAGAGGCAGAGACAGAGGAAGAACCAGAGGAAGCGGCAGAGAAGGAGGAGGACTCAGAAGCAGCAGCTATGAAGGAGTTCATGGACGGCATGTCGAAAAGTGAACTAGATGACTTCATGGCCTCCACAGCAAGCAATGACGAGCCTTGCTTGCGCAAAGGGAGTTGGTTATGTTGGTTCCTATTGTCAGATTTGAAGCAGTGGGCGGGACCATTTACGATGCTGGAGGCTCCAACTGGCAGTAGACATTAGACCATTGAAAACGGTTCCTCTCTGTGCCTTTTGGATTTGGGTTTCAGCATCTAAGCCTTGATCTCAGGAACACGGTCTTCCGTTCTGCGCCGTTGGCCACAGACACCAATGTCTCTTAGCTGGGTGGTCTCTGTCGGGTTTTCGTCGCTGGGTTCTCGTCGCTAAGGCCCCGCTGACTGGGTGAGCAATGATGGTGGATACCATTGATACTTGGCAGCGTCCATCCAAGACACATGGTATCACGATTCAAACATCCAGAAATCACGAAGAAGAGCTCAGAAAAACCATGTTCTACCTCTCAACCATCGCATATATCGCGACCGCTCTTGGGCTCCAGCTCTGGCACGACAGCCTGTGTGAGGCCTCCATCAGTTGGGAGAGACCAAGGAGCAATATGAAAGGCCTTGGACATGGAGCGAACCGCCCGTGAAATCGAGAACAGCCCAAGGGGTGGAAGTGATCTGCATTGGGAACAGAATCGTTTGGGTGATACAGTATTTTGCCAAGTTAACTATGCGGATTCATGCAGTTCATAGTGAATCAAGTTCATCTATGCCAGGGTTAGGCTTGCATCTGCAGCTTCTGTGCAGAATGCCTTGGACATTGTCCAATTGGTCCAGACACGTTTTGCTCTTTGAAGACTTTGGGTGTCTATGTATATAGTTCTTTCGAAAAAAGACATGGAGTTGGTTCTGTGAAGACTCTTCCCCCTGCAGCTCTGGCGGTGCTTGCCGACCCTTTGGACATGGTCCTTTCCCATCTATTGATTGCCAAGTGCCGTCCTCAGGAGTCAAGCTGCACTAATTCTGGACCTTCTGATATTCTGCGAAAAAGCATGCATAAAGATCATAAAGAGATGTAGGATGATACAGTAAACGTGCAAGTATTGAAAGAAGGTATCAGTTCCTTGGACATGCGGTGCCAAGGATCAGTGCCGTACCTGGGCAGAACATTGACCGATGATTTTGATGATGTATGGGGTCGACCAGACCGCATGTCTTTAAATTGTGTTCAATTTCTTCGTAGATGCCGACATGACATGTCTTCCCCAAAGAGCAGATGCCAGGCATCATACAAACATTACACCAAGCATCCCAAGTTCAAGGCATATGCCTGACGCGTGGCTCCCATCGTAAACGTTTCTTACAGGCACAGCGCGGACACACACTCACACACCGACCTGCCTGCCTGCCTGCCTGCCTACCGAACCCTCACCTTAATTACCTTACCTTACCTTACCCTACCTACCCTACCTGCCCTACCTACCCTCCCTACCAGCCTGGCCTAGCCTAGCCTAGCCTACCTGCCTTGCCTTGCCTTGCCTTGCCTTTCCTTACCTTACCTTACCTACCTAGCTACCTACCTACCCCTCAGGATGTGTATCATTCAAAACACTTGTGTGTGGGGGGGGAACAGAATCAACAGTTGAGCGGTTTCATAACCCTGAGAAGGAAAGAGGATGTTTTGCACAATTGCTTTGCTGGGCCTTTGTTTGGGCAGAGTTATTCATGTCTCAAAGCACTCAAGAACACGTGCTTGACCAGCCAGGTATCAGTGGCCAGGCGCAGGGCGGGGTACAAGGAGACAACAATCGTTGCCCATAGATGGCCTTTTACTATTGGTCGTTTGATTAATTAATAGAGAAGATACCTCCCAAGTGAACAGCGGTACCTTTCATCGACCCCTCTCTTATTCCCGTTCGGTCGGACATCATGATTTGTCGCATCCTGGACGGTCGCAGTCTGTTATTCTTATTGTTACTAGTAGTAAGGCACTTGTTCCTGCTCGTTACTACTAGTAAGGCACCTGTTACTACTAGCGTGGCACTTGTTTCTAAGGAAGTTTGTGTTCATAGTCCATGGTCTATCGTAGCCCATCTCCCTCTGCTCTACACCTCTGTTTGTATCGACTTCCACACATGCAATGAACAAGTAAGAAGGTGCAGATTTTTATTTTCTTTTTTTGTCCCCGTGCATACAAAAGCAAGACATTTGCGAGCTGCAGAGGTGCTGGTGAAGTAGACACCATGGCCGCAGATGGCCACACCTTTCCGATGCAACTGACCTTGCTTTCCCAGTTGTGTGAGGCTGACAGCCGCAGATTCATCGCACTCGGCGTATCTCACTGCTTAGTTTGCCCATCACCGGCTGACTCACGACATACCTGTCTCAAAGGTTTCAATGGTTAGGAACCTCACCACCCGGCCAGCACAAGACTGAGACCTAATTAGCTAGCTCCACTCAGCTAAACGAAGATGTTGTCATTCTTGAGGCTCAATTCAGGGGCTCACTGCTTTACTCCTTTTATCTCTTCCAAAGGCACTGGGTCACATCGCTCTTTCATCTCACCTTTTGACTCGCGCACTACACTCCCAACCAGCAGCTCTCTGGACAGTTGCGGAGTCGCATGCTCCCTCACCATGCGGAGTTGCAGAAAAAAGAGCAAATTGCTGGAGGTCCATCGTGTAACACGCCGTCCATCTGGGGGTGGACAATGATTTCCTGGTTGCGTGGGGCATTGGACATGCGCGCATCGGTATGCTTCTAAATCGTCTGTGTTTGTTCTGTCTGAGTGACCTACCTCCTTGAACTGTCGGAGTTGTTTTCTATTAATCTGCCTCAAAACCAGCATCAACGTATGTTTTCAAGCTTGTGAGATGATAGGCCGAAGCTGCTAACAATGGAGGCACGGCAGTTTGAGTTTTTGAAGGACACTTGTATGTCTTGAGTCTTTCCTGTCACGAACCAGGCAAGTTGACACCTGTAATGAAAGAGAAGCTGAAGATGATGATGCAGAAGCAGGCACAGGAACAGGCAGAGGCAGAGAAAGAGGAAGTAGAGAAGGAGGAGAAACCAGAAGCAACCGCAGAGACGGAGGAAGAACCAGAGGCCGAGAAAGAGGAACCAGAGGCAGCTGCAGAGACGACGGAGAAAGAACCAGAGGCCGCTGCAGAGAAGCAGGAGGAACCTGAGGCTGCTGCAGAGAAGGAGGAAGAACCAGAGGCAGAGAAAGAGGAACCAGAGGCAGCTGCAGAGACGGAGAAAGAACCAGAGGCAGAGAAAGAGCAACCAGAAGCAGCTGCAGAGACGGAGAAAGAACCGGAGGCAGCTGCAGAGAAGGAGGAGGAACCTGAGGCAGCTGCAGAGACGAAGGAAGAACCAGAGGCCGAGAAAGAGGAACCAGCGACAGCCGCAGAGAAGGAGGAGGAACCAGAGGCAGGGAAAGAGGAACCAGCGGCTGAGAAAGAGGAATCAACGGCAGCCGCAGAGAAGGAGGAACCAGAGGCAGCCGCAGAGGAGAAGCCAGAGGCAAAGGATTTTTGTGTTTGCCCTGTTTGCTGCACTTGTGCTGTCAGGTCGCAGTAAATAGGCTAAGTACTAAGGATTGTGAAATTGCCTCATTTGGTGCTTTTGGTCATTTCGGATTCCTTGTGCACATCACTGGTAGAGCGGCTGCTGCCCTGCCAAATTAGCAGCTTGTAAGGTGGCTGTACTGTACAAATCAAGCAAGGATTTCGCAAGCAGAATTTCTGTCAAATGCTTACCTTTTGTGCATGGAAGTCCTTACCATTCTTCACCCCTCACTAGTTGAAACCAGAACGAGACATGTCACACATACTTGCTTTTTGAATCTAATTCCATGCCAGAGACATCCAGAGCCCGCTGGCCCCTGGCTTCTTTTTTAACATTCAGCGATGTAAGATCGTGCACAGAGACAGAGTTCTCGGGGAGAGAACTTCAGAGGTTTGCAACGAAACTGGTCTATTTGTGCAGCTAACCTGTTTACAGCAGGTTGCATCGACAGTGACATAGATGTGTAAATCATTTCTTTAGGAGCGACTGGAGATTTAGCGCTTGATTCACTGCCCCAAAATCTTTTTAAAAGCATTTGGCTGAGGCCGAGGAGACCGGGGAAATCTTCACAATTTGGCTGGTTGATCACTTGATGCCGGACAAGAGCTGGGAACCACGCAGGCTGACCTTACCGAAGGAGAAGTTGCCTGAATCGAAGGAAGTCGAACTGATTAAGGACACCTGGAAGGATGAAATTAAGCCAGGTGAACCTGCTGAAATCCACGTCGTGGAACCCTACGTGGAAAATTATCCGGGTGCACCATCCATGCATCTACTGCTGGAACGCAACCCACTCAGGGAGCATAACCATCAAGCGGCCGTTTTGCTTGAAATCAGAACGCCTGGTTCTGATACCGTGCACTGGAAAGCCCGATTTGTGGCAAACCCAGCAAGCTTCACAAGCCTCAATGCTGACAGTCAGAGTATCAAAGATGGCTCCAAAATCACCCTCTTTGGTGACCAAATCACTGACCAAAGAGCTGAGAAACTTTGGCCTGGCGACCTCCTGGAGGTCAGTGAAAAGCAGGCCTGGCCAGTGTGAAAAGCATCCGGCCATCTGTTTCATGTGAGGTCAGATTGGATGTAACTGCCATCGGCTGGACAAACTGACAGGACAAAGATTTGGCATTTGCGGGATGGTCTGCTGAAGCGGAAAACCCAGGTGCTGCAGCTTTCTCGTTCGCTCTCTCATCGAATCGCTTCTCTGAGCATGTGAAATGTTTTTGTTGGCAGACTCTTGAAATTTCTGCAGCTTTCATGAGAGCTGCAACGTTTCCTTTTTCAATGTGACAGCCATGTCTGTGACATCTTGTCTGCAACCAGCTGCTGTGGCAAGTTGCAGGTGGCATCTCAGACGACATGAAGAAGAAATTGGTGGCAGAAGCGGCCGAAGTCAAAACCATCGAGAAGCAGCTTGAGGCGCGCCATGGCATAGAAGCCGAAGTTGTTTGCTCTTGGAATCCAGTTAAGATAGTTGAGAATTGTGGTAGGTTGCAGAGCAGTGACACCTGGTTGAAAGGAGAAGGTAGAACAGGAGGCGGCAAGCAGCGAGGCAGGGTGCAGTAGTTACGTAGTTCCAATCAGAGACACCACGCTACGCCCATGAAAAGCTCCGCCTGAAAGTTACCTTCTTCTGGCCGATACTACCAGTAAAAGCGTAGCCGGCAACACTGAAATGAGTTCATTTATGTTCATTTTATTTATGTTCATTTTATTTGTCTCCCGCTGGAAGAGACTTCGAGGCAGAGACGCCAGAAGAGCCTGCTGTCAATCACTCAGGGAACGTGCGGCAGTGACATTCCATGAAAGAACAAGGCACCTCTTCCCTTTGACATTAGATCTCATGATATCCTTGTATTCAAGCCTATTCAATACGATTTCGGACAATTGGATTAGACTTAAGCACCTAAGGTAGCAAGTTGATACCCAGGTAGTTTCAGTCGAACGCTTCTGAACTCCATCAGCTGAACAAAGCTTTGATCCATGCTTGCTCAGGAGAAGACAATATGATAACTGGGAATACGACACGGTGGCTTGGCGGACTTTTGAGTCCTGCTTGCTTTGCGGCTTGCGGACAACTGTTGTCACAGGTATAGAATGAAAAAAGCAAGGATTTTCACCCAACCAACCAACCGACTAACTGACCAACCAATCAACCAACCAATCAATTCGCGAGTATCTTAGCTAGATTGGCATCAGATAGCAGCTGGACATTTAATGAAATTTATCCTCTAGTAGCTAGAAGCTTCCTTGGCAATGGTTTCACTGGGAATCATTTCACCTGTAGTAACAAGAAGCTACTAGGAGCAAGGACGCTACTTAAACACCCTGACCATCGGAGCTCAAAAAGCGCTGCTTGGAGACCCGGTCTATGCCATGCCGGGCTTTCGGACACATCCCAGCTCATTGCAAGGCCTGGTGGACAGAAATGTCCTGAAGGATAGCCAATGGGCCAAAGGTAGCACCGATCTATGCCAATGTGCCCAATGGGGACTTGAAGGGTCAGAGGCTTCCTGGATGACTCAGGACGAACAGGATCGGCACTTGGATCCCTGTGACCATCTTCGACCCTTTGACCGTCTCCGAACGTGGAAATGTGTGTTGCTCTAAAACGAGCAAACACAGCTTCTTCACAGGTTTGGCAGAGCGGTGGCCCATGAGGTGTGTGTGTGTGCGTGCTTTACTTTCGTGTGGAAGGAACACGGGTTTTCGCATGTTCTCTCCGTAGTGAAAACACCGCCCCTTTTCACCAGCTGCTCTGTCGCGTGCGCAGCGAATGGCAAGCGAGGGCACTCGCCGTGTCGCTGTTGCATCACCCTGATGTTTTCGTGGATAAGTCCAGAACTTGCTGGGCTTTAGCTTTGCCAAAGTGCTCTCTGGTCTTGTAGGAAACCATGCATAGAAGATCATAGAAGTGTGTGGGCACCAATTTTGGATGATTTTGGTTTATGAGATCTTTAGTCTTTAGTCATCTATAGTCTGCTGACATGCACGTGGGAGGCCTTCTTGAAGGTTCCCTGAAATGGCCCACCAACTTCAGCTCGACTCGCTCGAGCAACTGGCTGGACCAAAGGATTGGCCCAACCGCTGGTCGCCTTCCGTCCCGACTTTTATGTGCCGGCTCAACGGTATGGGCACAACATCGGAATATGGAGGGCCATGGTTCAACGGTATGGGCTGACACAAGATATAAGATGACACAAGAAGATCAAGAAGATATATGTTTGTGAAAGCGAGCTCTTGAGCTCTTGGCATGTTTCCAGGTTGATAACACCCAGCCGCCATTTGCACAGATCTTGACCCATTTGTTTTAAGATGATACAAGATGATGAAAGTCCTTATCAGTTATAGTTCTAAGGACTGTGTTCTTGCTCAAAGTGGACAAGAAAGGGGGTTGTGCGTTGTGCCCAAAACTGTTGTGCCGTGTTCTCACCTTGCTGAAGTGTGAAAAACCACCGGCGGAACGAGACTGCGGGACGTGCGGAACGAGACGCCGTTTTAGTTCCTGGGAATCATGATCTATATTTGGAAGAGCGTCCTTTGCTCGTAGTAGCGATGCCAGGAGCCCCTAGTAGCTTGTTGTTCCTAGTAGTAAGGCCAGGAGCATCTATATTTGGAAGAAGGTGACCATTTTGGTATTGACCATGGTACCCCATTTTGAAATGGTTCCTGCTATACCGTCCCATTTGTTTCGGGGAGGGCTACAGGTTGAGACATTCACATTTGTAGACTCCTGAAGATTCGGAGTCATGGCAAAGGCTCAAAAGGGCACAGGTCTTTTTGACACCCAAACTGCTCGTAGAGTTTTCAAGTTTTTCCCAGTTGGAGACAGTCGGTTTCCTCATCCGTCGCCCGAAGCTTTTGCACTAATAATGACGAGCATTCCGAACACTTCAATCATTTGGTGCATGACTTACTTGAAGCACTTCCCAGATGACATCTGGAGTCCTCACATTTCTTACAGTCCAAGAGCACAACTCGGAGCATTTTGTTGGCATGCAACACATGCGGAGACTCCGGGCCATGGGCCCCTTTGCAAAGGCACCAGACAGGCACGGAGAGCGTGCCATCCAGTACGTCCATCCTGACGCCACGTCGAGACGCCACATCGTGACGCCACGTCCCGCCATGTCCGGCAGCGATGCCACTGCATCCCTGGCCGATGGTGATGCTGCTCGGCGTGGGTCATGAGGAGTTCAAGCGGGGAGGTTTGGGCTGGGTAGAGAAAACTCTGATTAATCACCAGCAAACCCCACGAAAACACTATATAAAGAGTCTTAACCCCCAGATTGTCAAAAGGAACGAACATGAAAAGGAATTCGTACATGTGGAGAGGTTTGGAATTGAGATGAAGGGGACATGACAGGGAATTGGTATTGTGGAGAGTTTCCTGGAATTGAAATGGAAAAGGAATGATAGGGACGGGAATTGTATAGTATTGTGGAGGTTCCTGGACTCAAAATGAAGACAGGAATTCGTATGACGTGGAGACATGCTAGCAACTTTTTTCGGGTGCAATGCAACACGTTGTTTATTCATAAATAAATAAGCGATATGTACGGCATGGTGGCTTCCTGAGAGGTACCCTTTCTGCATCTTTAGCCTAAAGGATTTAGGGTACACTTTATATACTTTTGTCTACTTGGCCATCTCAAAGTTAAGTGGCGGGTCTTAAACATGGACCAGGAACCCGAACATTTGGTCTTGCTTCTGAATGTCCCGATCCTTTGCAACGGGACGGCCTCCACCAGGTAGCATGAATTTGGTCAGTACTCTCTATATATACATGTACCATCATGTACCAAATACAACATAATTACATAGTTGTAAAGTAGTTAATTCAGTATATAATGTTTATTGACCATACTGTGTTAACATACGACCAATGTGTTGATCTCTTGGGACAGCGACCACCGGACTTTGATCCACTCAGGTGAGACGGGAGGCCAGTGCCACTGTCCGGGCCAGCTTAGCACAGGCGAGGATCCGCGGGACTCGATGGTCAGGGCAACAGGGCAACAGGTTTTGGATCGGAATCAGCCGTTGTTGAGGTCTAGCCGTTCTGGTCGAGAATGGGTTTTTGGCCCTAACTTGCTGGTCGGAATTTGGGAAGGCTTTCCCTCCGCTGTGTGGCAGGTGATCGAAGTATCTTTTGCGAGATGTAACCGGGTGGTGATGTGCCTGGCGCTGCTGCTCGCAGTGGGCTTGATGGTGGTGGTGGTTTGGTCCTCTTGGCAGCAAAATCATCAGGTGAGGCATTCTTTTTATATCCTTTTATATTCTCATAGACGTGAGGTCAAAACATGTCAAGAGTGTTTGTGCACACTGATTTGGCAGGGGCTGAACTTAGATTCAACATGTTTCAACACGTTCGATGTGGTTTCACATGGTTTCATATGGTTTCACAGTCGATTGCTAAGGGCCGAACTGGTCTATTCTGCACACGAAGAGGATTACTGTGATGAGCCCTTGGCGGAAATGCTGAGGTGTGACTCGGGGCGCTCCGGGTCCAGGTGTGTGTAAAGGGTTTACAGGTTCATGATTCCTACATTTACACGTTTGTAAGGACTGAGGGGCACTCAAGTCTATTTCCCCAAAAGAAACCAGAAGAGCAGAAGAAAGAAAGCACGAAAGAAAGAGAGACAAGAGAACCGGAAAGAAAGGAACGAAAAAGGAAGAAACGACTCAAGGTCCAAAGAAAGACACAAAGGAAAGGAATGGTCAAGAGGTCCAGTCGGGAAGAAATAAAGAACCACAAGTCCAGTCGGGACACTCCAGTCCATTTCCTCAGTTCATTGCAAAGGGGTTCACAGAGGCCAGGATGGCGTGCTCATGGCGTGCTCTTGACGGCGGTTCGGTGTAGCGGGCAAGGTGTTCAAACGAACCTGCACAGCCCTTGTTCTCATCGCAGACTCATCTTCTTGATCATCATCATACAATCCCTGCAGAAGACCATCATGCGGCACTGCCTTTGCTATGACATGGCGCAGGAGCTGGGTGGAGGTTTGATCAAGTGACACAACGAGCAGAATCTACAAGCATTTGCAAACTAAGGGGCAAAAGATGACACGACCAAGTTCGTCCATCAATGTCAGTCTTAAGTGCCTTGAGGTTCGACAGTAGCGTATCTTCCCGTATCAACTCTCCGCCAAAACCCGCAGATGCCATGACATGCTGTAGGCCACATTGATGCTGTAGCTCAAGAGCCAAGAGCATAGACCCATAGAGAATCCCAACGACGTCACAGGCACATACCTACACCAACTGAAGCCGAGCCACTGCTTCTTCAGCTGAGGAAGCTCCAAAATCGAGTGACATCCAAAGCAAGGGTTTGTGTCTTTAGTTGTGAACACATGGTCTATACATGTATAGTTATATATATATATAAGTATTATGTATATTCTATATTGGTTAGTGATACAACTCGATTTGCAGCTTTCGAGCCGGGTCGGTCTTACGTCCGTCTGACCTTGTCCTTCTCCAGGATGGTCCTGTGGAGCCTTGTCGGGTGAAGCTCTTTCGATGTCTCTCCCTGCTGGCCGCCTTAGTGTGGCCTTTGGTCGCAGGCGGATTGCTGAGTGGCGGATGGAGCGGATTCGGGATCATCAGGGCCTGTAGCGCTTGGGTTTCAATGGTTTCTCTGACTTTGGGGGATCATTTGGGATGATTTTGCCCACTTGAACGGAACAAACATCAACATCTCCAAGTCTGCCGAAAATATACTGTAATCGTTTTCCAAGTGGAAGGTGCTGTGTCCATAGCGACGTCCTGCTGCTTGATCCACCTTGGGAACGGAACAAAGATTGAAACTTCACGAGGGAAATCTCCACCAGAATGAGTTCATCAATCAATGCTGTTTAGGATCCAAAAAGGGTTGAAGAGACCATTCAGACATACTAAAACAAAACAGTGACCAAACAGTAGGCATTGAAACTTAGGGAGGTTAACAGGAAGATCGGCTGTACAGCTTTGTGCCCAGCGAATGACTCGTAAACACTGGAAGTAGCAAA